TTTAACATAGATTAAAAATATGTTACGCCTTACTTATTTTTAATCTCTGGTCTTTTTAATTAATTTTTTTTTTTTTTATTGAAAATTCCGTAGTGCAGAGTAAATTTATCAAAACCCATTAGGTTTACAGTAATATGAAAAAAAAATTTAGTTTATACAGAAATAGTATCTAAAATGATCTCAGTTTCCAAAGTTAAAGCAAAAGATCTAATCTAAACACACAATATTAGGCAGGATGTATTTGTTTTGAAAAGAACCCACTCTTTTGTGAAATTAAAAGGTTTATAGGTGAAAATTGTAAATTTAAAAATAAGTTTTATTTTTTCCTTTGAACTGAGATCAATATGTGATTTTTTAAAATTTCTTTAAAAGCATTTGTTTTTTAACAATTACAGCAGATGCAAATAATGTTCTGAGAGATAATCGAAAAACAATGGCCATTGAATAACATTTTTTGATAGTAGAAATAAAAGTTTTAAAAACATTATTTCACTAACAAAGAAGAGGAATGACATACAGTATACAGTACTTCAACTTCAAAAATATGCAATTCATAGATAACCACAAACTTCACTTTTGTTAAATATCAAATTAATTAACTTTACATGTTATAAACAATGCAAATAAACAGTAGTTAAAGCATGTGGATCAATTGTGTGTTTGAATCAGAAGTTCATGTATGGGAAAAGGGAGAGGCTTACTTTCTCGCAAACTTAGCAGTAAATTGTCTGCTTAGAGTTTATTCAAAGAAGTATTGCTTTTAGTAAACTGAATAAATTAGGAATACATTTATTTAAGCAACTAATTTAGTTGCATACTTGGTTTTTACTCATCACTAACTAAATCCAAGTGCCTACTAATGGCTTAAAATTATATATAGTTATGTATGGCAATTATGCTAAGAATTAAAATGGTGTGCGATTGTGAGGGTAGGGTGATTATGGTAGGAGTAAGTGGTATTGCTAATTCCCACAATCATCCAAAAACACACTGTACAAAATCAAACAATTCAATTATGATTGACTGACTTGGTATATCAATAATTATGATTGTAGAAATCTCTTTTTTTTTTTTTTTTAAATAATTTGATGTTCATACTAACCCATGTGGGGTTTACCAATACACAGATTGAATTTCTGGGAAATTGTGATCCCGCTTCCGTGAAATCGGCCACAAGTAAATTATTTTAGTATTAATAAATGCATGATTTATGTTGATTTATTGATTATGTTGTTGCTATTTTTTAACATTTAAATGGAAAAAAAAAAATAAAAAGTGTAATTCGTGGCTTTTTATTTATCTTTGAATATTTTATCATTGAATATTAATTCTTGCAAAAAGTAAAATGTAAATGGCAATTTGTTTGATGTTAGATTCCTTTTAAAACTAAATTATTTAAGATAAAAAAATGCATATATTTAATACAGAATTTGATTATTGGGGCCATTTTTACCTACCTGTCATATGGGGCCATTTTTACTGGGGCCATTTTTTCTGGGGCCATTTTTTCCAGGGCCATATTTTCCGGGGCCATATTTTCCGGGGCCATTTTTTCCGGGGCCATTCTTACCGTACACTATCATAGTATACAGCTTTATGTAAAAGCCTTCAGATCAAGGTACCTTTTTTGGCTTTTGTTTTGCCCTTGCTACCATCATGAGTAGTCTTGTCTTCTGGTTTATCTTCTAGTGTGTATGACCTTGAAGCCATTTTTACAAGTGTTATCAGCTGGTTGTACAGGAGCTCAACAATTGCATGTATCACCTGGCTCTTCAACTTTTCAGCATGAATTCTAAAAAAATAAAAAATTGCAGAATATAAATATATAAAATTTACAGAGCTGGGTTGTTGGTACCATGAAGGCCACCATGAGCCAAGAGCACATCACAAGATGCGTGTGACCTATGACCTAGGATTTGAGTGAAATGTGCTCATAGGGATAGTCAGTAGTATTTGTTAAAGATAATGAAAAAACAATAAGCAACAATAATTTTAAAACATATTTTCCAGAAAATTTATTAAACGTAGAAAGTCTTACTCAGTGGTGATAGCAAGGATTTGCAGTAATCGCAAGCTAGCAACCTGTACAATGGTGGAGAGTTCAGACATGCAAGCATCAGAAGAAGACAATGGTCTCAGACTAGACGAATGTTGAATGCACAGCTGCGAAAGGATTGTAAGAACGCCACTGCCAACAGCAACAGTGACATCATCAGGTTGATAATGAACACTAAGAGCACAAAGTGTTAGCAGCACTTGTCTCTGGCGGGCACCTGAAATTAAAATAATTGCCAAAATCGAAAAAAATAAAACAAAATAAATTTTGAAATTAAATTGGCCATTTTGGATCATCACAATAGTTATTCACTTTGAATTAAAAATTTTATCGAAAAAAACTCATTTACTATAGTTACAATACGTTCTACGAAACAGGAAATGGAAGGCACTGGACGTGTGTCTAGTTTTTCCGGTTTTAGCTAATAAATATGCATAATTGATGCTTAGCATATGACCTTTGACACCGACAAGTTGGTTTGTGTAAACAATTGCGAGCGAGTGTCAGGCCTCTCTGAGGGCCTAAAAGAAGAAAGATGCATAAAGACGGAACTAGAAGAAAATACTGATAATGATACTTTTGAAATATAAGATTTCAATGGAAGTTTTAAATGCTAATAATGCAACATTTTTGCTTGATGGGTGAGTTTACAAAATATGACTGGACTTGGCTCTAGCATAGGCTAGCCTCTATTAGTATTATAAGAGAGGGCCGTCCATGCTGCTGTTGTTGTGTCCAGCCCAGGGATCAGCCTAGCCTGCATCAAAAATTTTCTATAGAATTCTATAAAAGAAATTCTATAGATTTTCTATATAGTATTCTATAGATTATCTATAGAAAATTTTATATAAGTTCTATAGAATATTTCAAACAAATTCTATAGAAAATATATAAAAATATTCTATACAATCTCTAAAGGATTACTATACAATTTCTAAATGATTTCTATACAATTTCTAAAGGATTTCTATACAATTTCTAAAGAAAAGTGGCTTAATTCTCTATAAGAATCTATAGAAATTAAAAGCATTTCTATAGAAAACAACAAGTGTTTCTATAGAGAGTAATGCTGTTATAATTTCTTTTCTATAGAAAACTATTATTTTCTATAGAAATTGACAATACTTCTATAGAAAAGAACAGCATTTCTATAGAAATTATTGCAGATATA